TACTTCCGAGCTTAGGCAGTGAAGTTGTTGAAAATTAGAAAGCTGGTGATAATGTAATAGAAGGGGCATTTTCCAGCCACAGCAAGCAGCAGAATTCAGCAGTTTTGTCCATATGGCTCTGGCTTTAGAGGCAAAACTAGAAGGGACTACTGACACAGTAGATACTGGTTAGCTATAGTTAAAAAATTAGCGGTGGTGAAGAAGAAACCAGCATCACTGAAGTGAAATCTTCTGGGGAGTGTTTTCTGAGAGGACAATGAAGTTGTTTTCCAGAGATAGCCAAGGCTGTACATTGTGGTGCAGCTGGTCTTGGTCATGTGTAAATATCACCAACATGGCACCGGTTTAAGGCATGAATGTGTTGTGGAGAACACCTAAGGTTTGCCAACATAAAAGGAAGTGTATGAGAGACAAGCAGTGAAGCCTAGTTCCAGCAGGAGAACCCAGCATATTGAAGATGTCAGTGCCATGGGATGAGTAGAAAGACCTCCAGCAGCAGTAGACCAGAGTCAACCAGAACCTAGAGTGCTATAGAGGGAAGAACTAGAGAAGTGACACAATCTCTTTTGAGATGTGCAGGAGATCATGTGTGGGTGCCAGATACTAAAATATGAATCAGTAATATTGACATTACCTTGGCAACCCCAAGATTTTGAGGTGCCAGAGCTGTGAGGTACTTGCTCAGGAAAACTCCTTTCAGGGAATAAAACCAGCCAAAGAGAAAGAACTGTGCTGCAGTGAAGAAAACAGAAAGGAGTTGAATATCTGAAGAACATTTTGACACCAGACATGAAGATGTAGACTTTGGAGATTGCCCTGTTGGCTTTTGTTCTTCTTTTGGCGCAGTATTTCCTGACAATGGCATTTAGGAATGATGACGTATATTTCCTGTGAATTTGGATATATATGATATTCTATTTGTTTTGAAAATATCGAGGATTACAGTTACATGATCAGATGAATCTCAGAAGAGACTTTGAACTTTGGATTTTTAACATTTTTGAGACTGCTATAGATAATGGAGACTTTTTAATTTGAACCTCATGTATTTTGCATTATGCTATTTTAAAATATGGCCCCCATATACTCATGTGTTTGAACAAGCATATAGGGGCCAGGAAGTGGAATGTGACAGTTTAAATATGCTTGGTTCAGAGATATGTGGCCTTGTTGGAGGAAGTGTATCACTATGGGGGTGGGCTTTCAAGTTCTACCCAGTGCTGAATGGATCCTCCTAGTAGCTCCTTGGATGACAGTCTCTTTCTGGCTGCCTGTAGCTCAAGATGCAGAGCTCTCATCTTCTTCTCCAGCATCATGTCTTCTTGTATGCCTGCCATGCTTCTTGCTATGATGAAAATGGACTAAATCTCTGAAATTGTAAGCCACCCCCAATTAAATGGTTGCTTTTATTAAAAAAAAAAAAAGAAGCTAAGTCAAGCTTTATGTGATGGTACAAGATGTTAGGTCTGACACAGGTGATGGGGAACTCAAGGAATGGCTATCAGTAGGCTACAGATCACCAAAACAAACTGTAGTTAGGTTCTGCACTAAGGTATCTGCAATGCTGTTCTCCTGATAGATAACTCCTTAAAATATACTTTGATTTGTTGTCTTGGCAATGACTGTTCACCCCTCAACATAAGCTAAACCATCTAGAACATATATATATGGCATAAAGGAACTGATGCTGACAAGCCTGGGCCTGAGTGTCAGGGTTATATGTGTCTGCCACAATAATAATGCCACCAGTGTGGTTCATATGCTGCTTCCTTATTGCAGGATATTTTGATCACATTGTGAACTCCAAGACTGTGTTATTTACTGAAAATACCTGTTTCTAGTTGTGGTGTGGTTCCAACCTAGCACACACTTTTAATCCCAAATAATGAAGGTATAATCAGTTTGTAGAAGAAACTACATGTTTGAAAGTGATGTCTAATTGAGTGGCAGACAAAGTGATGAATCAGAGAAAGATTTGACAGAAAAGGATATGCCCAACTTTGATGAGAAGAGGAAAGAAGCTCTCTAAGAGAGGAGTGCAGAAAGAAAGAAAAGGAGAGTAGGCAGTTTTATTGGGAGTTTTACAGAGACAGGTAGAAAGAAAATAAGCCAGAGAATGAGAAGAAGCCAGAAGAGTAGAACAGATTGCTAGGGTTAGTTTGAGGACAAGCAGACAAATTCAGGAGAGGCTCAGAGAAGTCAGACTGAATTGGCTTGGAGAGGAGTCTAACCCAGAACAGCTGAATTGAATCAGCCAGCCAGAAATCAAAGAGAACTATGTGAAAGCATTCTAGGCCTAGACTAGATTGGACAGAGGCCAGAAGCTTCCAGGACTAGGCCTAGGTTAGCAGACAAAGGCAGTAAGCATTGGAGACAATTATGTCAGGTGAATAAAAGCAACTTTTATAAATCTTAGTTACCTGTAGCTCAAGTCTTTTAGTGACCCAGCAAGATGGCCTGGAGGGTAAAGGTGGTTGTCACCATGTCTGATGACTGCAAAAGCCAGAAACCCACGTGGTGTAAGACTAACTCCTGCATGTTGCTCTCTGGCTTCACCTGCATGCCTCCCGCAGGCAAAATAAATTAATGTTAAAAAAAATATTTTTGTTAATCCCTTTGTATGTGGAATAGATTTGTTCACATAGCAGAAAACACCAATTCAGATTACTTTTGTAATGAGATTGGCATGTTGTGACAATGGTCCTGCATCTGTTTCTAAAAAGCTTGTTTATATATATAAAAGCATATATACACATATATATATATATGAATGAATGAATGAATGAATATGAGAGCATGTGTGTTCAGATGCTCCTGAGGGTCAGAAGTTGGAGTCTTGTTCTGGAATAACAGGTGGTTGTGAGCTGCTGATGTGGGTGTTGGGAGCTGAACTCTTTTAATAACATGTATGCAGGTGGAGCCATACAGAACAACTTTTTTTAACAAAAAATTGTTGTGGCACATTTTCAGCACAAGGTGTGCTTTAAGAGTTCATCAAAGAGATACAGACAGAAAGGAAGCATTAGGCCTCTCTCTCCTAGCTGGTGGTCGGTGACGCCTGCTGTCTCAGAACTCTGAGAGATGGAAAATTACAGGTAGTGACTGGGCCACCATCAGAAAAGGGCGCAGTTTCCAGTCCCAAACTATTCATCAGATTAAACCAATAGGATGGGAAATCTGGGAAAGGGGCACATCTTGGCCTATGGGAAATTTCTTAAGATGAGGGTCTGTTAGCCAATCAGCACTCCTGCCTCTTCCATATTCTATGCTGCCTGTCCTTCACTCATCTCTTGAAATTTGTTACTACAGATCAAGCTTCTTACTTCCCACACAAAGGCCTCTACGTAGCAACCAATGGCTTCAGGGACATCTACCAAGTCTTTGAGCACATTTACTGCACTGAAAGACAGCTGTGCTGATTCAGCTGGCTTGCTGGGTCCCTGAAAGAGAGTCACAAGAAAAACCCTGTCCTAAAAACAGTGACCCAATTCAGACTAGTACAACACAGAAAATGTGCAGGAGGAAAAAGCAGTCGTGGGAAGGAATCCTGGCTGTGTGGCCTGTATGCAGTTACAGGCAGACATGGCTCGAGAAAGGAGAGAGAACGGTACACACAAACACCTCAGAACAGACAGGGAACTGACTGGAATGTGCTGGGGTTGTTACATAGCTGATGCAGGAGTCAAAATAATGCTTCCAGGTAATGGAAAGGTAAACCAAAGATACGAGACAGACATTTGCACATCGTTTTTGGACAGAGTCAAGCCATGGGAACCACACATTCAGGGAGCACTGCAGGAGGAAGCAGGAGGACTGAAAGAGCCAAAGGGTCAGGGAGTTTGCTGTGTGACTCTGTCTCCTCATTAATATCTGAAGCTACACCCATAAAGCCTCAACATGACTGCCTAAACACGAGCTGAACAGGAGCAAGAGACAGGCTAGAGTGGATGGGGAGAGATCAGGATACATCAACCCACCCTGCACAACAAACCACAGACAGCTAAGGGAGACAAAAACTCTTCCTCAGGGGAAAGCACACCAACTGGTTATCCAATACCAAATGGTCTGCTCTGAAAACACACAAGTAACATTATACAGACAGGGCAGGTTACACTTGTATGTGTGTGTGTGCATATACATGCATATATATGCATGTAACAAGAAATAATGAAAAAAGGGCTCCTGAATTTGAAAGAGCAAAGACTGATATATAAGTGTTTGGAAGAAGGAAAAATAAGAGGAAAAACAATGTAATTATAATCTCCAAATACAAAAGAAGTTACAATTTAAAAAAAACAAACAAAAAGGAAATCAGAAGAGTTGGTTGGTTGGTTAGCCCTTTATCAACTCCACTTTCAAAAAGAGCCTAAACTCTGTAGGTGTGGATTTTTAAATTATCTTTATTTTTTATGCATATGGATGATCTGTGTACCACATGCGTGGGTGTCAGATTTCCTGGAACCGAAGTTACAGGTTGATAGCTGCCGTTAAGTACTGGGATCCAAACCTGGGTTCTCCGAAAGAGCAGCAAGTGCTCCTGCTCAGAGCCATCTCTCTAGCTCCTCCATTAGAATTTTGAAGTACACGTAAACACTTAAGAAATAAGTAAATAAATAGGAAGAGAGCGGGGGTGGATATGGGAGGGGGAAACAGGGAAAGAAAATTCTGTTTACCATTTCTCCAGATTCCTCCATTTAGCAGTTTTAGCAATGTTAGACACCTGACAGTCAATATTCATGTCAGTAGATGTCCCTATGGGTCCTTTCATTGCTATAGTCACTCTCATGTCTTTTAACGCTGCCAGGACTTACTCGGTGACTAAAACACAAAAATCAGGATCTGGTAAGACTACACAACACAGTTGTACAGCCTACTCCAGGACTTCCGCCGAACCTTGGACACCATCCTTCCGCCGAGGCCGACCAACCGCCACCTGAGGATGTAGCTACTTCCGGTCGCGGGTGCCAAACCCCGGAAGTGTCAGCTCTGTGTCCAACGCCACTCGGTCCGAGATGGCGGATCTCCACCGCCAACTGCAGGACTACCTGATGCAGGGTAAAGCGAGCAGGTTGGCAGCCGCGGAGCCGCTGCTCGGCGCGAGGACAGCAGAGGAGCCTGCGGCCGGGGACAGAGCTGCCGGGGCATGGCTAGGCAGCACGGCTTTGCGATGGCCATGGGCACGGAGCCCTGCCGAGCTGCCGCCCGCGGGCTCGACGTGCATCCCAAGCGTGACGCGAGGGCAGCGCCTGGTGGCGGGCGGCCTGTGCCTGCTGCTGGCCGCGCTCTGTTTCGGCCTGGCGGCGCTCTACGCGCCGGTACTGCTGCTGCGCGCGCGCAAGTTCGCGCTCCTCTGGTCGCTGGGCTCCGTGCTGGCGCTGGCGAGCGCGGCGCTACTGCGGGGCGGCCCGGCCTGTGGGCGCCTGCTGCGCTGCGAGGAGACGCCTTCGCGGAGCGCGATGTGCTACGCAGCCGCCTTGGGCGCCACGCTCTACGCCGCGCTGGTCCTGCGCAGTACGGCGCTGACGGCGCTGGGCGCCTGCGCACAGGTAGCCGCGCTGCTCTATGCGTTGGTAGGGCTCCTGCCCTGGGGCGGCGTGACAGCGCTGCGCCTGGCGCTTGGTCGCCTAAATCGCGGGACCGGTCTGACCAACGCGCTCCCGGTGTGACAGTCCTAGTCTCGAGAAAGAGAAAACAGCCAGGCTAGGAACACTCCACGGTACCCAGGCGAACAAGGACAAAGCACCGACTTGATTGCGCGGCGGAGTCCGTGCGCCTGAAGCAGCTGTCAAGAACTGATGCACGGCGGTTCAAGATCCTTTGGCTTCAGTGATCTGCCGTTCTGGGTCGCATGGGCCACAAAAATACGTGATTTTACGGTGCTCTGGAGATCACTATCATGAACTGCTTTCGCACTAAACTGGCTTTACACGGACGTCAGTTTTAGCGAGGAAAAGAGAAACGAATAGCTTTCTGACTTGGCTGCTTTTGAAAGAACTACATTCTGCCTTTTGTCATTTAAAGAAATGCAGGAGTATGTTTGGTTGAACAGAAGGTTTCAGTTCTGCTGCAGCTTTTCAAAGCCTCCTTATTCCTATTCACTGTAAAGCAATCCAGATTATCAGATTAAACAGTAAATTTAACCACTGGATTTAAAATAGTGATTAGTTAATACATTCTACCTCATGGTTTTTCTTCAGTTAAAAAGTAAATATGGAGCCGGGCGATGGTGGCGCACGCCTTTAATCCCAGCACTTGGGAGGCAGAGGCAGGTGGATTTCTGAGTTCGAGGCCAGCCTGGTCTACAGAGTGAGTTCCAGGACAGCCAGGGCTACACAGAGAAACCCTGTCTCGAAAAACAAAACAAAACAAAAACAAAACAAAACAAAACAAAAAAAAAGTAAATATGGTGCTTTATAATATTTAAGTGTAAATACTTGTTAAAGCAATATTCTGGACCAAAAAGCCAGATATCCAGTATGAGTGGCATAATTTGCAAAGGTTTCTGCAAAAGGAATCCTGGGATACAGGACATTTTTACATCTGCAGTTACCATAGTTGTTATAAATGATAGGTTTGCCAAGTTTTCATGATTCCTAACATTGCTGCTTGTTAAAAATCCTACAGTTTGATACTAATGTTGTGTAAAACGCTTTTCATACGTAGTTGCTGTATTTCCTTCTAGGTTCAGCAGGTAGTTGTTTTGTGGTGCTAGGTCAAATCAGTACTTAGGTATATCATAATTTATTGCCAAAAACTTGGTTCAGTATTGAGCCTTGATGCACTAGAAAGTAAAGAGTGTTCAGCTTAAAATCTCACACCAGTGGTTCTCACACTAGACTGGCACATCAAAAGGACTGGAGAAGCCACAACCCATCAGTTCACTTAGAATACTGATGGATGGGCCCAGACATTGTTATGTATAATAATATATAAAACATACATGTTCAGCTGAGGTTGAGACCCATATCTGTGCACTGGCTTGTACAATGTCAAAGCAATTGTTTTTCAGGCTGCTCCAATGTTGCCTTAACAGGTTAGGTCAAAGAGTCCCCCATGATGTATGTGATCCTATACTGGCCAGTATCCGGACTTGACAGGTTTCCAAGATAACTAGCCTCTACAGCCCCTAGTTATCCTTCCGCTATGCTCTCCAGGCAGTAAATAAAAACTACCCACCTCTCTCAGGAAAGGAAATGCTATTTTCAAGTAGTGATGTGCATTTTTCATGTTATGTTCAAGATATTAAAATTCTGTTTCCAACATTGTCTCAAGGATTCATTACTTGAAAATAAGTTTTATAAAATTCTAAGCACAATAGTTTACATTTTGACAGTAGTGCTAAAATGCTGTGTGTAGATATTTAATGTCTAATGTAGAGGTTCTGTTTATAAATGAATTCATTCTCAAAACATGACCTGGATGGTCTCTGGAGTCCTGTAGTTTCATGAACTCTGATTTTAAGGTGTTTGTATGCTATGCCAGGGGAGTGCAGTTGAGGAGGAAGGCAGCTTCTAATGGTGTGAGTGCTAACATGTTTATTTTTGAAATTTACTAGAAATCTTCAGGTTCTAGCATTCAAATAATCACCATTTCTTCACTCCATACACACAGAGCCAGGGAACCTTTCTGTGCACTGTGACTGTGCCAGCATCTCTTTTTTTAAGCCACCAGAGAGGTCCAGCACCACTCAACTTGCCAAGTAAACCTGTCTACATGTGCCAAACAGCTGGTAATGCAATGAGAGATTAGTGGCTCTAGGAGTGACTTTTATAAAGGCTTTCTGAGAAAGACCAGTGGTCAGGGCTGAAGAAATAGCTCAGTGGTTAAGAGCATTGGCTGCTCCTCTAGGTGACATGGATTCAGTTCCTAGCACTGACCAACTCCCTATTATTCCAGTTCCAGGGGATCTGATGCCCTCTTCTGGCCTCCAAAGACACCAGACACACAACTGGTACACAGACATAAACTCAGGCAAAACACCCATAAGAGGCTTTAAAAAAAAAAAAAAAAAAAAAAAAAGTCAGCATAGGAAGGAGAATCTCAAACTGAAAATCTGACTTGCAACCTGAGCTTTGAGGTGGGGGGTTGGAGAAAGGTGGAAGTGGAATCCTAGGCTGCCCTGAAACTTACTATATAGCCAAGGATAGCACTGGACTTCTCTGATCTTGGAGCTCCACCTCCCAAATGCTAGGTTATACGTGTGTGCCCAGATACAGATGGTGTTTTTTTTTTAAAGAGAGGATCTCTCTTTATGTATCTGTGAGCGGCCTGATGTGAGCCATAGGTGCTAGAGCTGAGTTTCAGTCCCTGTATGAGCGCTTCACTGCTGAGCCATCTCTCCAAGTCCTACCTTTGCTTTTGTTTGTATGTATGTATGGCTCTTTTTAGGGTAGTGGTGGTAGTTTTGAGACAGGGTTTTTCCGTGTAGCCCAGGCTGTCTTAGAATTCACTTTGTAGACTAGGTTGGCCTTGAACTCAGAGACCTGCTTGCCTTTGTTCCCCAACCCAGCTTGCTTGCTTATTTATTTATTTATTTATTTATTTATTTATTTTTAAAGCAAGAAATTTGCCACGGCAAAAAACTTTCTGGTACCTTCTATCTTGTACCCTGAACCCTGAAATCTTCACAGAGTGTGTGTGGAAGAAGAGATTGTTTTCTAAAATGTAGATGCTTTGTTCCACTTCCTTTGAACTGCGTGGTAAGATGCACCAGGTTAATGTTGTTTACACCAGATTTCACTCTCAGTGATCACTCAAAGCTAAACTGCTAGGAGATGCATCCAAGGGAGAACCTCTAGTTGAAGACCCAGAAAATTCAGGTTTTTCTTCAGTGTCATTTTCTACCCCATAAAGCATGTCTGAGGTTTTGAGCCTTCTTGGACTACGTCAAAGCAAGTTTAAAGTATTCCTTATCGCATAACAAGAACAGTGTAACAACAGAAAGATAAAAAATATGTGAAAAGCACAGAGTTGACAAATGACCTTCATCTGTCAGGAGTGCCAGTAATAAGGTCACCCTCAGCAGGTCAGGGGCGCTGAAACCACGAACTCTTAAGGCAAGCACTGCACAGCCGGTGCTTCTGTTAACTCGAGTAAATCACATTCTGTATTCATACAAAACAAGGTTTTTTTTTTTTCTCTGACAAACTGTACATATAGAAATAAATTTCCAATTGGACATGAACTTAACTTTGTGGAGGTGCTCCATTTCTCATGACACTTAAAAAAAAAGGATTCCAGCTTTTATCTTCACAAACAAACGGGAGAGTCAGAGCAATGAGGAGACACAAGACAAACCAGGGCCAACTACCCTGGGAGAGAGTCGGCGGCAGTCTTTTCGTCTCCAGCATCTCACTGGGCTCCTAGAACTCAGCTGCCCCAGAAGAAGCGTTCAGGGCTACAGTGGTAAAGGCTTGTTTTTGCTTCACATGGTAAGTCCACAAGAACGTCTTAAATAGTATCCAGAGAGGCCTAGGGATACTTGGCCCTCCTACCGACCCCTCCCACTACCTCTTGAAGTGCCCCGCCTTGGAGGGCCAGAGTTCATGTTACTCCCTCTACCCCAGTTACTGCCACTCCGGCCTCCTCGAGAAGATGAACTGCTGCCTGGAGGGCCACCAAAAGGTTCGTCTCTGTGGTATCCGTCATGATGGTCTCCATCCAAAGAGCTGGAACGCCCAGATTTTGGCACTCTCTGGGAAGGTCCTGGGCCCCCTCGGCCTGAAACAAAACATGATTCAAGAAATGGCTTTCTAAATCACAGTGCTTGCTCCCCAGTAATTCCTGGTACAGCTCTCTCCCCTGATGACAGTGGACCACCAGGGGGTCCTAATGAGATACACAATGGCTTTCAGAACTGATGGGGCTCTAGCAGGCCCAAGCATGGCAAACATGGCTCTGGGAGGCCCATTCTTCCTGCCCTGCTAAAACCATAGATCCCATTGCTAAAGCTAGCCAATAAGGTCCATTCTCTTATTTAGTTGGCCACTTCCTCCAAGGTTAATCACCAAGATCTGGCTATCAAAGTATTGATCTCCAGCAATTCAAAGCCCCCTTTGGTTTACCTAATTAACATGCCCAATCAAAACATACCACCACATCCTGGACTATTCTAACTATTCTCTCCTCCCTCTTAAAAATTACACCTGCAAATCAGCCACTTTACTTCTCTTCCCCGCCTAATAAAAGATCTCTGTGTGAAAACAAGTGTTTGGCTGTGGTTTGTGCCTCATCTAGGGTCTGAGAGGGAGCACTTCACTGTATGCAGGTCTCTTTAGTGGGTTCCTCTGTCCCTTCCTGACCTCATCCCTGGCTCATGGCATCATGCCTTAGTATCTCTGGGGGCCATACACACCCCAGGGCTGTTTTGCCAGAAGCCACAAAACACTAGGAATCCCAAGGAAACCTGCAGCACACTGGACATGTTTTTGTTCCTCTGAGTTACCAAAGGATTTTAGGGGAAGATTTCAAAAGCACCTGAGAACTTTAGAAGCAACTAAGATAGACAGGCTGCTGCAGATGTTAGCAACAGAGGCTCCAGTTAGGATCTGTTTATGGTCCATGGTGGCACTTCTGCTTTCTTTTCACATCTTTAGTGATGTGAAATATTCTCAAAGAACAAAAATAAACTGGCTTTCGCCGGGCGGTGGTGGCGCACGCCTTTAATCCCAGCACTTGGGAGGCAGAGGCAGGCGAATTTCTGAGTTCGAGGCCAGCCTGGTCTACAGAGTGAGTTCCAGGACAGCCCGGGCTATACAGAGAAACCCTGTCTCGAAAAGCCGGAAAAAAAAAAAAAAAAAAAAAAAAAAACAAAACTGGCTTTCAGAGAACAAAAATAACTTGCTTCACACCTAAGATAGCAAATGTTTAGCTATAAGTAAAACTGCCTTAAAAACCTTTCTTTCGTCAGTAAGATGGTTCAGCAGGCACAGGTACTTGCCACCAAACTTTATAACCCAAGTTCCATGCCCAGGACAGGACAAGAGAGGACTGACTCTGGTAAGCTGTCCTCTAAGTCACATGTACACTGTGGCACCCACACACAAACATATGAAGTAGATACAATTGAAAAAAAAATGTACAAGAGGCTATTTGGGGAGAGTCAACTTTTGTCAGCAGTGTTCTCTAGGATGGCACCCTACACCAAGC